GGTTAATCTGTTGCACAAGACTTCTTTAAAGTATTGAAAAGCAAGGATGTTACTTTGAGGACTAACTGACCCATGGCATGGCATTTTCTATAGTCTCATATGCTTGTGACCGTTGGAACAGGGAACAAGGAAGATCATAGAATACATGCATTCGAACTGTGGTGCTGGAGAAGAATACTGAAAATACCACAGACTGCTAAAAGGACAAACCGATCTGTGTTGGGAGAAGTAGTGTCAGAGTGCTCCTTAGAGGCAAGGATGGCGAGACTTTGTCTTACATACTTTGGATATGTTGTAGGAGAGCTCAGTGCCTAGAAAGGCACTTGGTAAAGTACAGGGGCAGTGAAAACGAGGAAGGCTACAACAATGGGCTCAGGCACAGGAACAATCATGAGGGCAGCATGTTTCCTTCTGTTAAACACTGGGTCGTTATGGGCCGGAACCCACTCCACCACATCTTACAACTACACAATGCCTGAGACTGTCCCACACCTCAAAATAGTGTTCCTGGTGGGCACAGTGTTCTTAGTATGGAAGACAGGAAACAGCAATATTGACTAGAGGAAGGCAAGGCAGACCTCATGAAATGAACTGGAATTGTAAGGAGTGGTGTGAACTAATTCTTGCTAAAACATGCATGCATGTATGTGAATACAGTATAGGGAGCATTAAGCAGATACCGACATATTTCTCCCATCTTTGTCTACTGAATGGGCCAAGAAGCAAAGACTCCGCCTAGCACCCAGAATTTGGGTTTTCAGACCATTCCTTCCTAAAAGTAATCAGGGCTCTGTGGAGAAACAGTGGGTCCCTAGGGCGGGGCGGGAAGGTATATGATGAGCTGAAGGCTATCTCAGCACACCAGAGAGTAAGGAAGTTCAACAACAAAGACAGGGGCAGGGGCCAGCTTGGAAAAGCTCCTATTAGCCAAACCTGTTGCAATGTAACCACCCAGATAAATAAGGATGGTAATGAGCCACTAAAACAGAAGACAGCATCCACCGGACACAGAACTACATTGAGAATAGCTAACGGAAGGAGGAGAACAGAGATGGACGGGTCTTGAGTACTGGAGAGACCGGGTGCTAACTAGCACGTGTGGTGGGGAAACCATCATTTTGCCACCATCACAGTGAAGCCTGATGGAGACAAGAGGGATCAGTGGATGCTAAACCTGGGGGAAAGTTTTTGACTCCACAGCAGGAAATGTCTGCGGGGTCCGGGTGTCCCCCAGACCGCTTGTAACTCAAGAGGGAGAAAGACAGTAACTCTCGGTGGAGAAGCCAGACACACTGGGCTGGGCGACCACCATCATCGCGAGGGCACACGGACAGACATGTCACCAGATGTGACTCCCTCAGCCTTCACAGCAGCTTGACTCACTGTGAGGATATATGAGACATACCAAAAAAAGGAACATTCTCTAACAAACGACTATTGTCTTAAATAAACAAAACAAAACAAAACAGCAGCAGTCAATGCCATAAATAAGAAAGGACAGGAAACTATTCCAGATGAAAGGAGACCAAGCCGGCAAGGCAACTAACGGGGCTGTGATCCTAGACTGACTGCTGTGTCAGAGAGAAAAACACTTCCGAAGACATTGCTGGGCTAACGGGCAAAGTGGAACGTGATAAACTCAGGGCCAGTGAGCGACGTCAACACTGGGTAGAATTGCCCCAGTGGGTTTCTGAGACGGTAACGCCTTACCGAAGACATGACTGGGTCATACGATAAAATGAAACATAAATAGGTCAAAATATCATGCTGCGTTGACTAAAGCTGGTAGCTATACTGTAGTTCTAAAATAGAATTTCCACATCGCAGGGCATGTGCATGGTGGTATTAGGGATAAAAGGGCAATGATGTATAAAACAGACTCGAAAGGGTGGAGAGAGAGAGAGAACAAGAACTGGATCAAAACAGTATTAATACTGAAAGTGAAATGGGCAGAGCGCATGAAGGGGATTCAAAGGTTCATGGGAAAACTGGATGAAAAGATCATGGAATTTCCCATGAGGGTTCTGTAGCTCCCTCATATTCAAGCGCTATTTGTACTGTTCCTCCAATTTTTGACAAATCTAAAGTTATTTCCAAGTACAAAGTTTATCAGTTATCCACATGCCATTTATGGCATGACAGGCATATCAACTATATCGCTCTCCCTTTATAGTTAACTGCAGGCACTCCATTTTACATACAATCACAAAGCACTTTTTAGATATGATGGGAACATAAGCTAAGTCTTCCACAACTCAACTACTACGTGAACTGCGGTCAGAAAGCACTTTGGTTCATTCAGAACTTTACCACGGGTTGTTCATCATTTGGCAAACCAAAATGTCAGCTGCGATGACGCTCCTGGTATTTGAACTGGCCAGTGCTGCACCGCACCAGCTCCATCCGCACCTCCAGGTGCAACCTCACAGCGTCTCACATTAAGCACAGCACCAAGCCACTGCACTCTGGCCTTTTAGTGCAGCCTTTGCCTAGCATTTCTCTGTGCTGAAACACACAGACTTTCCCTCTTGCTGGTGGCTGTCAAGCCAACCTCCAATGCATGGGGACCCCACACACAACAGGATCTTTTGTATCACGGTGAGGGGACTACAAGGATCTTTAATAATCTACACACACACACATACACACACACGTTGCATTATCTATAAATTGCTTTCAGGATACTCAGTGGGCATGGATCCAAAACCAAACCCCTTGCCAATGAGCCGCCTCTGACTCACAGCAACTCTCTATGGGTTTCTGAGGCTGGAATCTTCACGGGAGCAGAGTCTCTCTTTCTCCCGAGGTGGGTGGAAACTGCAAACATTTATTATGACAAGGCTAAGTGGGGTCTTCCTCAGAGTCGGGCAGTAAGTGCCTCATGGAGAGGGGCTTGACTGCTAACCGGAAGACTGGTGGCTTGAAGCGATTAGTCACTTTGAGAGACAGAGGTGGCCGTCTGCTTCCGAAAGGTGTGCGGCCTTGGGGACCGATGGCACAGTCTCCTCTGCCCTAAAGGGTGACTATGAACTGAATGAAGCAGGGCGACAGCAATGGGTTTTTACACTCGCTTATCTTCATATCCTCTGCAATTCTGTTTCGGCTGGCCCCTGCCCACCACTCGTTCCCGGGTTCACAAACAATTCCCTCTTACAATGACGTGACTTCTTTGGTTCTGCCCCCACCCCACTACCACCACTATGTAGCACTTATGGGGAGAATTCAATAACACAGGATACTGTATTATCATCTTACCTAAAACAAAGCAGAAGCCTGAGGGAACAAATTAAGTAAGCATGAGAATTGATCCAAAAATCACATCAGTCTCATAAAATTATCCCTAATCGACTTACTTTATCACTGTCCCAATGATGTTCAAGGACAGGCAGAAACCAGTCAAAGCAGGTCCATGAGAGGGCCAGTGATTCTTTCCAGGTCTTGGTTTCTTATAGAAGAAATGCCGCAGTGCCTTTGTAAGACGGGGAGGAAACCCAGAAACCAAGCGCACTGCCACTGAGTCAATTACGACTCAGAGCGTCCCTAGGGGGCAGGGTCGAACTGCCCCTGTGGGTGGCTCAGCCTGTCCCTCTTTACGGGAGGAGAAGGCATCTTCCTAAGGGTTTTAAAATGCTGCCCTTGTTTAGCAGCCCAACGTGTAACCTCTGATGCCCCAGAGCTTTCAGGAAACCCACTATGCTGGCAGCTCTGGGCTTCTTAGAAAGATATGCTGCAGGGCCTGTGTGATGTGAAGCTGTGTGCCCGGAAAGTATGTACTGGTTATTGTCTCTAAAGCCCCTACGGGAGCCGATAGAAGTGCTTCCAGTCTCTCACCTTGTAACCTCACAGAGAAGAATCAGAGAGCTCCGAGACAAGAGGGGTGAAGAAAATAAGAGACTGGCAATAAAAAAAGATGAAAGAATAAAATCCCTGTCTCTCTAGAGAGGCTGTACGACAGAGGCAGGCCGCAGGAAAACTAGTCGATCGTTATTATACTTGTGAATTCATCTGTCCCTCACCATTGATCTGTGACCCCCAAATCAATATCACAGTCATTTGAGGACAAGCACAGAGCTGCAAGGGCCCAGTGCGTGTGCTCTGCTCAGCCTCTGGTTTCAACGCTCATGTCAGAAGCAAGCACCTTTCCCGCTGTCTAGTGAGTGTGCTCTATTTCCCCACTTTTGTTGGCGATTCTGCTCTTTAAAATGCTCCTCAAAGGCAAGGTGCTAACACTCTGTGTCTCAGGGGGAAATAAGTATTAAAACTAAGCCCTATTTAAATAGACATTGTAATGTCATGAGTTCAATCTTAATGAGTCAATAACATATATTAAATAAGGGAGTCTTTAAACGGAAACACATATGAAACAAGTTTATGTACTCGTGTTTATGGGATGACAAAAATGTGACCCGAGGCTCAGAGAACTTAACCCTGTACATCTGCTGGGAGCCACGGTCTGGCGTTAGCTACGTCAGCACTCAGAGCCCTCAGAACACAAGGGCTGCATAGAATGGGCATCAGCTGCATGATCTGCATGGAAATGAAGAAGAGAAATTGTCTGTAACAGCTTAAACCCAAACCCACTGCCATCCATTCTGACTCAACGTAGAAACTATAGTTTCCAAGGCTGTAAATCTCTCTGGGTGCGGCATAGCCTTGGTTTCCGAGCTATCTTGGCCTCCTCGCGGCAAATATGAATATCAGAAAACTTCAGGGCCGAGCAAAGGATTCTGTGCACAATAACCCAATGATTTTAAAGGCTCAGTATGCGTACCTGGATTGGATCATCATGAAAACATCACCCATCTATCCATTTTAGGTGATAATACTGGAAATTCCATTTTTTTAATACCATTCGTCCACAAGCTTTTTTAAAAAAAATCATTTTATTGGGTGCTCGTACAATTCTTATCACAATCCATCCATCCATCCACTGTGTCAAGCTTTCTGCAGTACCCTCGTATATGTGTCTATGACTGAAAAATAGGCCAACAGGTACGTACCCAGGTGACACTCTTCTTTGTCTCTTGCTTCCCATTTCTGGCTGTCCACATAGGCCGCAGAAAGCAGGCATCTTTTTCCTGAGGATCAAGACAGTGATCTTTAAAGGAGTATCTTCACAATCGGTCCACTGTCTATACACACACACACACACACACACACACCCCTCTTTCTTACTAAAGCTATCTTTGTCCTATTTTTCATGGACTAGATTACATAAGTTTAAAGATGCTAGTAATATACTGCAGCCAAGATTAGCAGCTAGTGGTCTCAAGCTGCTGACCTTGCTGTTAGCTGCCCAACCGCACCACCAGGGCATTTCATTCAACCTCTAGGAAGTAGAAAGTGTGGAAAAACTGTGCAAAAGGCTTGTTGTTGTTGTGTTTTCCCCAGACTGCAATACATGAATTGTTGACTTACACAGATTAAAGTTTCAAGTGACTGGACATTATTTACACAAACGATGAGGGTTGGTAACAGGGCGAAACTTTCCATCGCATTCATTCACCAAGGCAGAACCACGCTCACAGATTAATACGGGCCATGAGCAGGGTTGCTGGAAGAGGACCATAGAAGTGGGAATGGGTCTGTGACTGGGACCTACATGGACAGCATGCTGGACAGAAACGTTTACAAGGTTGGTAAGGCTCCGGACAAGGCAGTCTGGGTATGACGAAAGACCACGGGACCCCTAGTACCTTAATTTCCATTCAGGGGCACACAAAGGTGGGTCCCAAAGGGAGAGACTGCCCCTCCCTAGGCTGAAGGGAATGGTGGTAATCAATTCCAAACACTCTTCCAGGAGGGAGGGCACAGTTGGCCAGTTGTCGTTAATTGTTTGGAAAGAATGCAAATGGAGGCTTAATCCTCAAGGAGACTCAAAAAATGGGATTGAGCAGTCCACTTTCAAACACACTCTGCCTAACAAGGCTGTTCACATTGCCAGCCGGTGGTCCGAAGGGATTCGGGAGGCTACACATCTCTGTGGAGATTCCAAATAGAACTGGGGCTCCCACCATACTCGTTAGCCCTCCACAAGCCTAGTGTCCAGAATTTAAGCTCCAATACAACGGAAATCACAATAATAAATTATGGGGAAAATCTGAATGTTCACAGCATAATTCAAAAGTGTGCACAATCCAAATATCCAGCAACTGAAGAATAAGTGAAATGTGGTCCATTCTTAGATGGAAGTACTGATCCATGCTACACCATGCTAAGTGAAAGCAGCCTGCCACACAAGATCACAAACTGGATAAGTCCAGTTATATAAAATTACAAAGTGTCCCCAATTGGCAAATCTGTAAAGACAAAGTAGATTAGTAAATTAATTCATGGTTGTCCAGCATTGCGAGGGGAGGCGGGACTTGGGGGACAATGGGAAGTGACTGATAAACAGGGTGATGAATATGTCCTGTGGTGACGGATCCCGAACTCTGGGTATATATTAAAAAAACCACTGGATTGTTAAAGTGAGTGGATTACATAGTATTAGTCTCTAGAAATGTGAAGCTCTGTAATTTACAATCTTTGTTAAAGTGAAATTTCGTTTTCCCAGTTCTTGTCTGTCATTCCAAGATTTGGTCTGTCTGAAAAAACTGTTTCACTCAGTCTGTGTCTCTGCTGTGAGGACAAAAAAAAGGGGGAAGGCAGTCGTTAGAGGAAGATCCCAGCCATACTCCTTTTCTATGCATGTGAAAGTAAAACTTGGAATCTTTTTAATGCACTTGGTTCTGTAATCTGAAAATGTTGGCTCTCTTTGCATCCGCCCTACAACAGGCACATCTGGTGCACGAGACCTCTTTAAAGCGTTGAAGACCCACGCCGTGGTGGTGTTTTCAATGGCTTTCTATGCATGTAAAAGTTGGACAGTGAATAAAGAAGACTGATGATGAACTGATAGCTTGGCGAAGAATACAGAAAGTACCATGGCCGCCTGGAAGAACAAATCTGTCTTGGAATACTGCCAGAATGTTTCTTTTTTTTTTTTTGCCAGAATGTTTCTTAAAGGTGAGGATGGCAAGACTTCGTCTTTGGCATGCGATCAAGAAGGAAGAGTCCAAGGGGAAAGTTATAATGCTCGGTACAGTGGAGGGTCAGTGAAAGAGAGGAAGACCTTCAACAATGCATTGACACAGTGGCTGCCACAATGGCTCAAGCACACTTTCGGGAGGTCTTGGGACTGGGCAGCATTCTGCTGGTTTACATGGAGCAGCTATGAACTGGAATAAACTTGCAGGCAGCAGACACTGCCCACCTCCCATGATGGTAAGTGAAAGAAGCACACAATCACAAAAAGTACTAAGCCAGTCTTCCCTGTTAACGCTGCCCATCATACGCAGTGGACTTCTAACAGCAAGAATGGTGGTTCAAACCTGCCAGTCTCGCCTCAGCAGAAAGATGAGGTTATTTGCTCCCATGAAGTTGGCCAGCCTGGGTCACTAAGAGTCCGAATCAACTTGATGGTAGTGGGTCTACTTTGTTTTTTGGTCTGCTTAAGCAAAATCCGACTTATATTAGAACAATACGTCTAAACTTAAAAGTCTCAGGCACAGGATCTTCAAAAAGGCTTTGTGAGGTCCTACTCCTACTTAAAACAGTGATGTGATAGAAAGCTTCCAAAGGGAAACTACCACACTGAAAAAATAGCAACTGCCTTAAAGTGCCCACAGTTTAAAATGGATTGTAATAAAAAGGGAAACACAAAGTACCAAGATGATCGGTACTTGCAATGCTTTTTTTCATTGAAACACTGTTACCCTAACCTGTTATATCCCTAACCTGCCAAAAAGATGAGGAAACGTCTAAGATATTACATTATGTGGCGCTGTCATCCAATTACCAAGCCAGTGTAAGGAGACTGATAGAACATTTCAGATATGGTCAGTGTTAAGATATGAAAATAATAATTTATAAATTATCAAGGGTTTATGAGGGAGGGAGGGAAAAATGAAGAGCTGATACTAAGGGCTCAAGAAAGAGAATGTTTTGAAAAGGATGATGGTAACATATGTACAAATGTGCTTGACATGATGGATGGATGTAAGAGCCCCAAAGAAAATGACTTAAAGGGAAAAAAAAAAAGAAAGAAAGAAAATTTCAGATCCAGAGCGATTCAGTCTCCCTTGGGTTCTTTCTGACCATTCACTGGCAGCGTGACTAGCTTTGTCCACAGGCAGTGTTTTTGTTGTGACTCCTCTGGCTAACCCAGGGAGGTAAAGGCCCTGCCAGGGAGTGGCCTCGCTGGGAACTGGGGTATCAAGGCCACATGGTCATGAGTGATGAGCTGACCAAGGTGGTGGTAGAGCCCAGCACCAATCTTAGAAACTTTCCCAGCGGAAGAGTGCACGTACCCAATCATGGCCCCTTTCTGACTCCTGTATTCCTACCTGTGACTGCAATGAACTGATCTGTCAACACTCATGACTCTGTGACACTTTCCTTTGTTCTCCAGTTCATGGCTGAGACGCCTTGGACACCATTACAGGATGATGCCAATCATCCCCCTCATCCAGTGCTTTTACTTGGTAGAACCCCCTGCTGAGAGTTTGCATTTTCACTCCCACATACTGAATAACTGCATTTTAAAGAGAACCCCATGTGAGTCTTGTCATATAATCTTATTAAAATGTGGATTCTGACTCAGTTTATCCGGGGTTAGATGCTCTGGTGGTCAGGTGGTTAAGTGTGCAGCAGCAAACGTTACTTCAGTGGTTTGAATCCACCGGAAAGGGTGGCAGTAGGCAATCTCGCCTGCCCTGGAAACTGCCTGGGCACATCTACTTTGTCCGAGAGAGGGCTGCTGTGGGTCCGAATCAACTTCACGGCTGAGTGTGTGTCTGGGGAGGA